CATCCATAATGAGATCTGATGCCCTCTTCTGGTATGCAGCTGTATGTGCATTAAATATATATTAAGTAAATAAATATACATTACATAAATAATAAATGTTTTAATTAATATTTAATATTATACTTATATGATGCATTAAATATATTTATTCATATTATATTTATATTATACATTAAATATATATTAAGAAAATATACATTACATAAGTAAATAATAAAAAAGTTTATAAATATTTAATAAATATTAAATATAAATAAACACATTTAATATACATTAAATAAATAAAACTTAAAAAATAGAGAAGGAATGGGTGGAATTAGGGTCCACTCTCTGTTTGAACAGGAAGTTGTGTCAGTGTTTCTATTGCTGAGATGAAACAGCATTACCAAAAGCAACGGCTCATCCATCATAAAAGCAGTTAGAGTAGGAACTCAAGCAAGGCAGAAACCTGGAGCCAGGCCCTGACGCAGAGGCTGTGGAGGAGGACTGGTTAAGACTTCTTCTTCAGGGCTTGCTCCGCATGCTTTTGGTTAACTGAAAATAGTTTTTTCATACAGTACATTTTGATCACGGTCTCCTCCCAGAACCCCCTGCTCAATTACTTCACTTGTCCAATGTCATTCTCTCTCTCTCTCTCTCTCTCTCTCTCTCTCTCTCTCTCTCTCTCTCTCTCTGCAAGTTGGCCAATAAAAATTCAGTATAAAACAATCAGAAAGAGGAAAATCATGAGACACACACACACACACACACACACACACACACACACACACCATACAAAATCATGATAGATAACAAAAAGACAAGTAAAGTAGAAAAGTGTCCTAACAAAGCTTTATGAGACAAAACATCTCCAAAACTGCAACTGAGTTTGTTTTGTATTGGCCATCTACTGCTGGGCATGGAGCCTGCCTTAAGTGTGGTTTCTATACTTAGACTTCATTGGTGGAAATTCCCTTTTTCCCCCTTTGTGAGTAGTTGTCAACTGGAGATACCTTTTGGATGAAGGATGGGACATGATGTCCAGTTTCCTGCTCAGTTTTGGGATCCCATCTGTCAGCTAGCTTTCTTATATCATCCAGAACTACTGGCCCAGGATGTTCCTATTCATAATGGCCTCCTTTATCTGTCACTAATTAAAAAAAATTCTATAGATTTGTCTGCCCACAGCATGATCTTATGAAGCCATTTTCTCAACTGAGATTTCCACCTCCCTTGTGACTAGTTTGTGTCAAGTTGACACGGAACTAGCCAGGACAAAGGTCTAAAAACAAAAACAGCTACCCAGAAAAGGCTAAATTGCATCCTTTATTATTAACTTTTCTACAACTTTAAAAAAAAAATACCTGCTGAGACAAGGTTTTGCCTTGTAGCCTAATCTTGTCTTGAACACCCAGAAATTGTCTTGCCTCAGCCTTGGATGTGCTTGGATTTCAGGTATAAACTACCACATCTGGCCTGATCCTCTTAATAACCTATACGTCTGTATTTGCACAACTGCTTATTGTAATTGTGACTAGGCTGTGGCAGTTGATTATACTACCTTTCAGAATTTCATGGTACTATTTTATATCCTCTGTGCTTCTGAGAGGAAAAGATTGGTGACTCAAAGTGAGAACTATGAGGCAGGCATGACAGCAAACCACAGTGAATTGGGCAAGATAATTCCCACGCATGGTGCTTTTTCTTCCTGGAACAAAGAAAAAGGAGTCACTTATTGTTTTTTTCTTTTCTTTCTGTTTAGTCTGTTCCAACAGGATGATGGATATTACTTTGGAAAATTTCTAACAGTTCATCCTTCAAGCAAAGGAAATGAAACCGAAACCAAATTCAAATCCAAGCTTACAATAATTTTCCTTCAGAGTTGAATATGTATATTAGTGATCACCCCTTAATGGTCTTGATTATTTGGGACTCACTAAGAAAACAAAGCATGTCTGGGGCACTACCCTTCCTAGGGTGTAGGGGGGGTACAGCTGTTCACCCCAACTCTAAACTTATTAAGAGTTACTGTTGAAGCCCCATCTTAGGACCTGTTAGGTTAGATATCAGAACTTTCTGTGTGCACATGCTCACTAGAAGGCTTGAAACTTTGAAATCTCAGGGTAAAAGAAGACATCGGACAGAAGAGAAGAAAAGCTAAGAGAAGGACAGAGGGAGAAAAAGAGGGTGGGAGCATGGCCAATGGAGGAAAAACCAAAGAAAGCCCTTTAGGTTGGTGGGGCTTGCGGATAGTGTCTCAGGAGTACTTCCAGTTTGATTGTTTGCCCTCCTATAAACTTGAGCTCTTTGAAGGTGAGCAGTATCTTATGCACCTTTGACTTTTGTGGCACCCAGTGGTGTATGACAAACAAGCTCTGCTTCATGACTGATTGTTGGTCTGAATCAGTCTACCCTAGACAAGTAATAAACATTCTGTAATTTAAGCTTCGTAGCTAGAGATATGTTTAAGGCCAGAATACTTTTATAGACAATCTTTTCAACTCATTGAGGGACCTGTGAAAGAGATTCCCGGGCCCTACCTTAGAAATCCTGGGGATTTTCTGAGGATCTGCCGAGTGAAGCCCAGCATTGAAAACAGATCCCTGGTGACTTCTGTAAGCCATGTGAGGTATACTTTCACTCATTACCATGAGTTTGATGAACAGCAAGGAGACAGCAGGCAGCCTCTACATGTGATCCATTTGGCAATAAGTAAATAGCTACATTATTAGTGGCAAGAATTGCCCAAAGAAATAATGGCCTTTGTTTTTGAGAGTCACAGACCAGAAAAGCATGTCTGTGACTGAGTCTTCCAATCAGATGTGCATCCTTTGCTCCCATGCTATATCCACGAGGTACTCAGTAGCCCAAAAACACCCATGAGGGACTCCTATAAGACACTCCTAAATCAGATTTCCTGAAAGATAGGTTCGGTGACTGGTGGCCTTCAACTTCTAGCTGAGCCAGATTTTAGAATAAAGCCACTTTCCCGGCCTTCACACCTTGTCTCTGGGGAGAATTGACCAGCTGTACAGTGAGCCACAGCAGCATGTCTGGTAACAATGCCTCCAGTGTTTTTGATACAGCCTGAACCCAAAACATTTTGTAAACTAGCCCATTGGAAAAATCAAAGCATTTCGGGTTACCTTAGGCTCAAAGGGTCTTGAACCTTGATCTGAAGAGATTAAAGCAGAAGATAATAGTCACAGGGCACTGAGAGACGTCAGCATGTTCCATTCCAAATCTTTAGTCTTTCGGGCGAGTCTGTTGATTTTTGAGTTCCCGATCCTTAGGGCTATGAAGAGCACTAACAGAGATGACCTGTGGAGGAACAAACCAAGACGCTCTGGTTTGCCTTATAAGAGAATCTGTGCCCCTTAAATGTCTATAGATCATTAACAATTTAAGGAGGTGAACGGAGAGGAAAGATCTTTTTATTTCTTAATAGACAAAGCAACAAACTACCAATGTACTAATTTACTAATGAGGCAAAAAAAATAATCACTGCAACCACACAGAGAAATGAGGAAACAAATTTTATTAACTGTGTCTGCATGAGTGAGTTCACCAGGCAAAAATCTGGACTGGACTTAGTAGGTGTTACTAATTTAAAGTCACCTGTCTGGGATAAATGCCTAGTATTGTTCATTATAGTATCAGTAACCCCCTGTACATCATGTCTCCCACGTGTTACTTCTAATACACAGGGATACATCTGGAATTACTGACCATAGCCTTAGTCAAGACTGCATAGTCAGAGGATTGTCCCTCATTCCCAAATAATGGAAATCTCAGAAAGCTTTTATATGATACTTCATAAATGAAGTAACTGTCTTTGTTCAATATAATCTCTGTGAGGAAGGTGGGTTTTCTTTATTATTCTCTCTGAATAACTGAGACCCAGAAGACTCTCTCTCTCTCCCTCAGTTTCTTTAATAGATATGAGACTGTTAAGCTGCTTATTTATTTAGAAAGATATATTAGTTTATATATATAAAGAGATGTATCCACTTAATATAATTCCTCAAAATAAAGCTGTATGTAATATCACATTAAGTATCTCTCTCCTCCATCCCCCTATGTGTGTGGGGGTGGGGTGGGGAGGGGTATGGTGTGTGTGTGTGTGTGTGTGTGTGTGTGTGTGT